TTTTAGTTATGCCTTGTAATTTTTCTTGACAACTGGACATGATGTAGTGGGTGAAAGAACTGCAGTAAACAGGACTCTAGCGATGTGGTGGCGAGGTGTGGGGAGGGGAAGCACTGTACGTTGATGATCAGTCTCTTTTAGTGAGCCTGTGCCTCTGGACTGTGAGCTTCCCACAGGTCTCAGTTTTGTCCTCGCCCGTCAGGTGGGAGAAGACGGTTAGGCGGGCTGTTTCCCTTCCCCGGTCAGTTGGGCTCTGGTGACCCAGTTTTCCCAGAGGGCCGACCTCGTTCAGAACACAGGACTGGCCTATTTCAAGATGGTTCCTTCCCATCCTCTGCTTTTTCTCCAGTATTTCCTGTGAGAAGCAGGTTGAGCTCCTGTGAGGAAAACTCACAAAACTGTGGGGAACCCCTAGGACTGGGCCCCCGAGTGTGTAACTGCACTGGCCCCAGCAGTTCCTCAGTCACTGCTCAGGCTTTCCTGGCCCGGCACTGGTCCTGCGACGGTCTCCACTCCCGCCTCCGCCTGTCTGACTCTCCCATCTTGGGGCAGCAGTTCACGCCGTGTCCTTACCACTCCTACAGATCCAAAGAGGAGCTGACTTTTCAGGCTGTTCAGCTGTTCACTGGTTAGGACAGAGTGGTGACTTCCAAGCTCCTTAATGTGGAACCTGAAACTAAAGTCCTGCTTCATTTATTTTGGGACTGTTGTTAGGACTGTCCTGTTCTTGGTGGGTTGAGGCTGCATCGTTGTGCAATTTTCTCCTTTAGGTTTGGTAATGTTGCTTACTCTGCAGTCCATTTTATTTGACATTGATACAGCCACTCCCACTTTCTTTGGATGTGTTCAAATCCTTTTACTTCTAACCCAGGCATACCATTGAAAGTAAATTGGGTCAAAATTTTTAAATCTAATCTGACAATCTCTTTTACTTGGTGTTTAGACAATTTACATCTAATGTAATTATTGATATGATTCTCCCATATTATTTTTTGCTTGTTTCCTTTGTCCCTCTTTGGTTTTTCTATTCCCTGCCCTCTTTTGTATTATTTGAAAATGTTTTAGCATTCCATTTTAATTTTTTTCTATTGGCTTTTTCTTTATCTTTGTTAGGTATTATTATTAGTGATGACAATAATTATTACTAGTGGTTACAATACACAAAGCTCACTTTCCAGGCTACTTCAGAATTAGTTTTACCACTTCAAGTGAAATGTAGAGACCGTACACACCTTTGCCTCCCTCCCTCATACTGTAATTTGGTCAACATATACTACATTTACAAACACCGAAAGTCAGGCACATTTTAAAGAACTTGAGGAAGAATTAGTTTATTCTATTTGCCCAGATATTTACCATTTCTGCTGATCTCTTTCTTCACGCCTGCAGTTCCGAGATCCTCTCGGCTATTATCCACCTTCCACCTGGAGAACCTCCTTTCGCATTTCTTTCTGAGCAGCTCCACTGGTTAAGAATTCTGTTTCCCTTCACCTAAGAATACTTTTATTTCATCTGCATTTCTGATAGTTTTAATGGCTATAGGATTCTAGACTGAGTTACTTTCAGCCTTTAGAACTTTCCAGTCAAATGGGCTCTGTGGTTTCTGATGATAAATTGGTAGTTATTCAAATTGTTACTTTATATATGAGTCACTTTTCTTTGGCTGCTTTCAAGATAAAAAATCTTTAGTTTCAGCAGTCAATGGTGTGTCTTGATAAGGTTTTCTTTGAGGTTGTCCTATTTGGGGTTTATTGAACTTTATCAGTCTTTAAATTTATATCTATTGCCAAATTTGGGACATTTTCAACCATTCTTTTTTTTTTTTTTTCCCTTTCTTCCCAAAGCCCCCTGGTACATAGTTGTGTATTTTTAGTTGTGGGTCCTTCCAGTTGTGGCATGTGGGACACCACCTCAGCATGGCTTGATGAGCAGTGCCATGTCCACACCCAGGATCCAAACAGGCAAAACCCTGGGCCATCGAAGCAGAGCGTGCAAACTTAACCACTCGGCCACGGGGCCGGCCCCTCAACCGTTATTTCTTAAAAAAAGGGTTTTTTACAACGTCTTTCTTCTTTTGCTGGGAATCCATTAACACATTCGTTAGAGGTTTTTATACTGTCCCACTAGTCCCTGAGGCTTAGTTTGTTTCTGTTTCCAAACATTTTTCTGTCCATCCACTAAATTTCTCATTTTTTTTCCCTCCCCAAAGCCCCAGTACACAGTTGTATATCCTAGTTATAGGTCATTCTAGTTCTTCTATATGGGACACCACCACAGTGTGGCCTGATGAGCGGTGTGTAGGTCCATGTCCAAGATCTGAACCCACGAACCCCAGGCCGCTGAAGTGGAGTGCGTGAACTTAACCACTCAGCTGTGGGGCCAGCTCTCATTTCAGTTATTTTTAAATTCTATAACTTGTAGTTCAAGAGCATCTGCCCTTCATGGAGTACAGTTGTAATAATTAGAGCTATAAAAAGCTCTAATGTTTTTCTGATTATGCTAACATATTAAAGTTGGCGTGTTAATTTTCTTTTCTCTTTAGAGACTTCCCTGGCTCTTTGTTGAGAGTAATTCTGTATTGTATTCTGGACATTTTGCATATTATGACACTGAGGCCTATTAAAATCCCCTATAGGGGGCTGGCCCTGTGGCCAAGTGGTTAAGTTTGCGCGTATGCTCTGCTTCGGCGGCCCGGGGTTTTGCTGATTCAAGTCCTGGGTGCGGACACGGCACCGCTTGTCAGGCCATGCTGAGGCGGCACCCCACATCCCACAACTAGAAGGACCCACAACTAAAAATACACAACTATGTACTGAAGGGCTTTAGGAGAAAAAAGAAGAATAAAATCTTAAAAAAAAAAAAAATCCCCTATAGAATTTGTTTTAGCAAAGAAATAATCTGGCTGGGTTCAGACTGCAGTGCAGACCTGCCCTCTGGCTGTGGCTCTCATGTCCGTGACTCTCCCAGCCTGTGCAGTGCTGGTTGGGTCTACACCTGTGTGTACTCCTGGGCCCAATCTATATGGTAGTTCAGTTAGTAAGGTCTCTGCTTCCTCAGATCAGTTCCAGGCACGTACTGCAGCTCAGGGTGAACCCAGGATGCCATCTATGGCTCTAGGGGTTCTCCCCCTAACTTCCTCTTTGCCATGATTTCTCTCACACTTTCTGTTTCCCAGGCACTTTTTCCTGGTCCTTTGGCTGCAAAGCTCAGGTTCTTGCCTCCCTGAAGTGTTGCACACTCCCTGTGACCAGGTCTAGCTTGGGGCCAAAGCGGTGAGAGAAAAACTGAAGAAGTGACAGGGATCCTCCCCAGCCCCCCTCCCCCTCTTTGGACTGAAGATGCCCCATGTCCCAATTCCTCTTCTCAGCGTAAAGGGCTTGCTCCGAGGCCTCAGTTTCCCCAGGGCTGCTGCGCACAGGTGTGCAGCTTCACGACTTCCCCACTGTCTCGGTCTCACACGGCCCCTTCCCAGTGCTCTGGCCACGGTGAGAGGGGAGAGGCCTTCTCTTGGCTCTCCTGACGGTCTTCCTAACGCACGGTTCTGAGACTGAGGTTGTCCTAGAGTCTATGCCAGGAGATACAAAAGGGAAAAAGCCCCAGGAGAACATCACCACTTGTTCTTCCAGTTTTTATTCCCCTGCCCCAATCTGCCTGCTGTCTGTCTTTCAGAGGACTGAGATCGCTGCTTTATTCATTCTGTTGATGGTTGTTAGCTGTAACCACTGAGACACGCCACTGGGACCTCTGAAGGACACTTCTAAGATCAGATTTATGCCCACAGGTTTAGTCATCTCATCAGAGGTCACCTGAGACCCATGTTCAAATCTAATTTTGTATTGCTGTAGACGTACACACAGAGGGGGAGCAACAGGTGTGTCGATCCAGCGCAGTATTCGACAACATCTACAGCGTGTGCAGGGCTGCAATCTAAGTCAGTATACACCATGAGTTCCCTCACCTCCCTCCGTTTAGGCCTGAACTTACTACAGCATGACCACATAGGTTCACAATATGCCCCCATGTGCTCGTTACAGAGGAAATGTGGCCCTAAATGTGGGCCTCCCTACAATAGTTAACAAGGCTTTTGCTGTATAAAAACCTCTTTCCAGAGCTGCTGAATTGTTTCCTGTATCTGAAGGCCTCCTCCCCTCAACATCTCTCTTTTTGGATAAAGGTAGGTTATTCTCTAGGTTAGCTGTCAACTCTCGGACTCGGTTTAAATTCAACAAGGTGAACAGAATGAATTACCTGAGTAGCTCTTCCTGAGACAGAAAGGGGGAGTTAAGACCTAACACATCTTAAAGCATCTATTCATACAACATGGACAACAGATCTGGAAACACAGGCATGAAATGGTCTCAGTGCGCGATGAGCAGTTCTTTTACGCCAATGAGAACTGTTTTAAGTGAGGCGTCAGGGCAGGGAACAAAACACTCCATGGGAGCCCTTTGTCTGTGAACACTAAATCGTAGCTTCACTGAGCTCCCCAAAGGGCCTTGGCCATTGTTTTCAGTCCTCCTCCTTCCCTTTACTCCCCAGAGGAGCACTAAATGCTTTAGCAGCCTCAGGACTTCAGCAGTCCAGACCAGACTTTCGCGGGTGGACGAGCAGCGCTGCAGGGTGGGAACTTGAGCAGCCATGTGCCTCTTCAGACAAGATTTCCGTCTCACAGGAGGATGTGTCTCAAGTTGTCTGCAATGATCTTGATTCTTAGGTTGAGGGGCAAGTCTGCAGAAGAAATGGTAGTGACAACCACAACCTCAAAGTAAGTATTGAAACTCCAGTGTCAGAGATAAAAATCAGCAAGACTTTGTTACCACCGCCTGCAACCCCATCCTTTCCAGTGGTGGAACCTACTCTGCTGTCATGATGGCAGCCTCTTCGTACATCCACTCTGTGCTCCAGGCCTTTGGCGTGCTCAGAAAAGAGCACACGATAAAAGAGCAAAAAAGAAATGCCTGCTTACATTTATCAAAATGACAATGATACTCTGTATTCAATTAAAATTAATAAAAATATTTTATTGAATTTCAGGTCTTGGTACTTTTAAAATTTCAAATTGTTGCACACAAATCACCACTATACTTTCTAGAATAGTGGAGGTTAGGACTTGAAGATTGTCACTTATCACCTTGTGTCACATAGCATAGAAATCCCAAATCCTGGCCCCGCCCCACCCCTTCTGTGACTGCCGTCTGCTCTGTTGTTCTAGCGACGGGCGTATCGAAGGAGCTACTGATGCGAGAGGAGGGTCATCCCCAAACCATGCACAGACATCTTGGAATGCACCATGTCACGTGGGTCGTATGTGAGTTTACCTTTTGTATTTTTGTTTGCTTCAGGGCAAAGCTGCTGAAATGAAGTTTCTAGTCCCTCGGGGTGCTCAGAAGTTTGGCGAAGGTCCAAGCAGAGACTCCTTGGAAGAAGACACTTGGGAGCTGCCAGTGGACTGCTGGGAGGGGGTCCAGGGCAACACGCCTGCTGACGTAGCACCAGGCATCAGGCAGGAGGCAGGGACACGAGCTCAGTGACTCCTGGTGTGTGGAGCGCCTTTGGGAATTCACAGCTGAATTGAAAAAACTTAAAAAAGTGATAGCTTGCTAATCCATGGTTTTTTCCTGCCATCTCCTTGATATTCTTAAATTTCTATGTGCCAATGAATGCGCCAACTGAATAAGGCAGTGAGAAGGGAAAAGGAAAGAGACACCCTCACCTGTGAAAAAGGCACACTCCAGCTGCTGACAGCAAAAAACTATTCTTTCCTCCTCTTTAAAATTTGAGAACTGGGTATTTTTCTTCTCTATCATCCCAGCAGAAATCCCTCCAGACCCATAAAGTCTAAGTTTCAGGCTCAGAAGTAATGAACTGACGGACTGGGCTTACGTGGGAGCATCTCCTCGAGTCTCTGAATGGTGAAGGTTCCCTGCTGTGTGGACATGTCTCCAGGAGGATGCACAGCGCGTTCCCACTGGGGTTGTCTGGTCCATTCACCTACCTAGAGCTCATGGGCAGGGGCTCGCGGCAGTCATGACCAACAGGTCCGCACCACTCAGCGGAGTGACCTGACCCCCCACACAGGACACAGCACAATCTGAATTATTTGCAAACTGCAAACCTTTTGAGTAAAAAGACAAATAAAAATATACATTCCAAGGTATCCGTAAAGTGCCTGGAAGATGGAGATTGCTGCCCTGAAGTGCTCTGATCCATCCGTGCTTCAGTCTGCGACCTAGATTTTGCTACTGTCACACAAACGGTCTCATTCACATGATGGTTTCATTTTTATTTTTTAAATGGCTGAGTTATAAATCCAGCTAGTGTGCAGTAATTTCATAATTTTTAATATGCATTATCTGCAATAACATTGTGACAGCTCCATACTGTGGATTGACACACAATACTTAGAACAGATTTATCATATTTGGTCTTTAGGTAAATAATAAATGTTTTAAAATTGCCTAAATATACCATTCTGAGCTGTTTCATTCCACCAGGAAAATACAGGGTTTTTTCCCTCTTTTAAAAAAAATTAAATACCAAAATAACTACATTTAAATAAATAACGTTATGATGATGACATTTAAAAATTCACAATAAGGCCAAAGCCCTCTTTCTGTTTGCACGGCTGCTCAGCCCTGACCCCTGGAACACTCTGGAAGGTGAGTGGTATTCTTCTGGAGGAGCGTGGGCTAAGGCCTGTGGGCCTCCCGCTTCTCCTTGTCTCACCTTTGTTTCCTTTCCTCTCGCTTTTATTTTTTGTAGGAGAGAAGTCAGCCTTAGTATGGGATTCAGTTCTGAAAGGGTGAAGGGAATTTCCTATTACAAATCAGAAAACGACCCAGATGGTTCCAATGCTTAACAGAGGGCACTTGCTTCCGAGCCCCTTGTGTTAACACGCAGCTTCTGCTCCACCCCAGCAGCTGCTCTCACCATCAGTGGGGCAAACGCAGTGTAGACAGCTGGTCGGGCGATGCCGAGAGCTGGTGAGGGCACCTAAAACAACAGACGTGCCCCAGAGACCTGTGACATTGGTTTGAAAGGGTGTGTGATAAAAGACTGAATCTTTTTCCAGACGAAAGAGTCGTAGTTCTGTCGGGAGACTTGCTTTACTTAGAGTCAACACAAAGAACAAACAACAAAAAGGAGCAAGAAAGAGAACCAGTTAAGTGCAGCTCCACAAGCCGCGAGGCCAGCAGGAGTCCGGAGTCCTTTCCATCGTGCTTCTGTGCAGCCCGCGGGTATCTGTCTGTCACCGTCCGTCACACTGAAATGGAGGTGGATTAAATTCATCTGGCACCTGCTCTAACAGGGACAATGCGCATGTCACCAAGTAGCTCCATCTGAACTTTAACAGGACAGACAAAAGTAAATCATTCCATAGGCTGAAAACAAACAACAAAAACAAACAAAACTACGTTGTTTCTTTTCCCCAAATGAAATCACACCAACGGTCCTGTGTGATTCCAAAATTTCCAGAGTAGAAATGGAGTGATCTGAAATGTCAAAGACCCCATTATTTTGTAAAGAAAGAAAGTACACCTCAAAATATTCTAATTCCACATGTGAACAACAAAATACTGTCTCATCTACCAGCGCCAGCCCCTCGGGTCCTCTGAGGGCGGCGGGGGCTCCTGCCCCATCCCCTCGTGGGGGCCCCATCCCGGCAGATCCGCTTCGCACCAGGTGCCGTCCTCACTCAAGGACCGTGAGTCTTTACTCGGAGTTAAAAGCTGAGCGCAGGTGGGGAGACACTGCCAGAACCAGGTTTTGTTGCGTGTGTTCTGTTTGGGTCTGATTTCTGTCTTTAAATTAAGGAGTTTTAAGGCCGCCTGGGTTTTGTGTTTTCAGTGCTGAGGTGAAGTCCAACCGCAGGGCCCTCTGCCCACCGAGAATGCGCTCTGAGCCTCGGTGAGAGACAGTGTCTCCTTTTGGCACCACAGAGTTGATATTAAGGTAAGACAAGCTCTCCTGGTCACTAGTTCTGGATGCCCTTCTCCCTCACGGCTGCCGGCGGTGTGTCCACACTCAGGGCAATGACAATGCTTTCGCCATCCTCAGTCTTGACTCGCTTCAGCTCCGGCTGCTCTGACTGGTCACCATTCTGGCGCTTTGTGGGCAGAGAGGCCGACGCCGACGCGTGTGTCGCCAGCATGTGCAGGGGACTTGCCGCTGCTGCAGAGAGACAGTGAGTCAGACCCCAGACTCCAGGGTGAACCCTCGTCCCCTGTCAGGCCCCCACTGGCTCCACGCTCTGCCCAGAGGGCCAGCTTCTCTGTGTGACCCTGCATGGCCTACAGTGGCCAAGGGCACCAGGGCCTGGATTGGGCCCCTGGAGACAAGACACCTTGCAGCAAGTTAACTGTGTGATCACTGGGTGTTTTGATTAACAGTTGGCATCTTTTTTCTTAGTTCAAATGTTGTGCTATCTTGACAGAACCCCAGTGGAAACTGAGCCTCAGGGTCAGGGAAAGGGGGCATAGACAGCCGACGGCTTTACTGATGAGGCAAAGGGGCTGCCACCAGCGTTCTCCCCCATGCAGTGGCCCCTCACCCCTGACTTCCATGCTGATGCTCTCGGATCACCTCACACAAGAGGAGGGGAGCAGGGCACACGGCTCGGGCTAACCACGAACTGCAACAAGAGCTTGTCTGCGCCTGTTTCTCTCTATGGAGTTTACAAGCAGATATGTGCCCACGAGCCCCTGGGCTGGCTTCCTGGCTTCTCTTTGGCCCCATCTCCCCTGCCAAACCCTTCCTCTCTCAGGTCTTCATCATGGAGGGACCCTCCCTCCTTGTGGGCTTACGTGGGACTTTACCAGCTGGGCACAAGGGCCTCTACCACTCCCACCTTCACCTGTCCCATGTTCTGCACAACCAGGCAAATTCCAGGAGATGAACAAAAGAAGGGTCAGACTACATCAAGATAGTGCCACTTCCTCAAAGTGAGAAGGCAGGAGTAGGCTGGAGAGGAGGCCTGGAGCCACTCCACACAGGCTCAAGGAGAGGGGTCCTAGGAGGCACAGCATGCTACATAACCCGCCCACATGACCTGGAGAAGCTGCATCCTATCCAGGGAGACTGTGTGCTCCCATCCCATCCCCTCGTGCCCTGAGGGAGGTTTAGGACCAAGGCAAGAGATGGCCTGATGGGAGTCTTAGCCACAGAGAAAGATGTATGTGCACAAAAGAAGCCTGGAACAGCAACCCTTGTCTCCTGAACATGCCTGAGTCCCTTGGTCTGACACAGACGCTGTCCCGCCACACTGATCTTACTAAATTAGATGTTAATGCTGTTGCTGGTGGAAGTCATAAATAGGTTTGCTTTGTGTGCTGCCTAAGAGTTTTCAGCATGAGTTTACACCAAGCTTTACAACTCTAGGTATTTTCATTTTAATACACTGCTTTGGCTGCCACAAGGGAACTGCAGAATTTCCTCCCAAGAAATGGAACTTGAAGCTAAGTAAAGAGATGACGCAGGGTATGCAAAATGAGAGAAACGTGAAGTCACGAGACACCCTCTGAGCTCCAATCCTGCTACGAGGCCAGTGCCTCCATCCTCATCTCCAGATTCAACGCCAGCCCAGAGTCCCAGCACGCTTTTGTGCAGGGACCTAAAATTCACGTGGCTCAATTACACCTCACTAAAGCTGAACGAAAAATCGCATGGCAATGCAAAGGACCTAGAATGGCCACAACAGTTTATAGAAAAGAACCGAATGCAGGACGGACACAGCCTGACCTCAAGGCTTTTTATAAAGGCACAGCAACAAGGACGTGAGGCGCTGTCACGGATGGCACACAGATTCAGGGAAGAGAAAGAAGCACTGGGAACAGACCGTCTGTCTATGATCAAGTGACTTTGGACTCAAGTGTCAGGGGAATTCAGTGGAGAGAGGAGAGTCTTTTCCACAACTGGGGCTGGAACAACTGAACACCAATTAAAGAAAAAAGAACCTTGGTCCTTACTTACTTTATACAAAATTTCACTCAAAATGGGTCACAGACCTAAATCTAAGAGCTAAAACTGTAAAATTCCTAAAACAAAGGATAAAATCTTAGTGACCTTGGGTTTGAGAAAGATCTTTTACGTAAACTATGGGGAGGAAAAGGGGCAGAAACTCTATAGAAAAAATTGACAAACTACACTTAATAAAAATGTAAATATTTTGCTCTTCAAAAGGCATTATTAATGAAAACAAAAAGCCATCCACAGACTGGGAGAAAATATTTGCAAACTATACATCTGACAGAAGACTTGTATCTAGAATATGAAAGAACTCATAACTCAGTCAAAAGGAAACAACTCTTTTTTTTTCTTCCCCAAAGCCCCAGTACATGACTGCATGTGCTAGTTGTAAGCTGTCCTACTACTTCTCTGTGAGCCGCCACCACAGCACAGCTACCGAGACAGGTGGTGTGGCTCCTCCACCAGGAAGGGCACCTGGGCTGCCGAAGTGGTGAGTACCGAACTTCAACCACTAAGGCCATCAGGGCTGGCTCAACAACTCAATTTTTAAAATGGGCAAAAGATCTGAACAGACATTTCAGCAAAGACATTCAGATGTAAAATAAGCACACAGTAGGATGCTCAATATCAGGAATCATTAAGAAAATACAAATTGAAGCCAATAAAAAAAACTAGAAAAGCTAAACAAAGACTGGCCACACCAAATGCTGGGGAGGATATGGCACCACTGGAGCTTTCGTCCACGGCTGGTGAGAATGGAAAACGGTATAACCACTGAAAAATGATTTTTCAGTTTCTTAAAAAATTCTGTATCTACCATATGACTCAGCCATTCTACTCTTAGATATTTACCCAAGAGAAGTGAGAGCATTTGTCCACTGGAAATAAATTAAAGAACAAAGTGGGTAGACATGAAGAAAAAGCTAAGAAAGTGACAAAGGGATTATGCTCTCTCCTGCTCCAGGCCTCACTCTCCATGCAGGTCCTTCTGTTCTCTGTCTCTACCTAGAACCTGGCAGGAGGGGCTGCTGGCCTCTTGGGTTCCCAGTGGCTATGAGACCCAGCAAGGACGTCCCTTGGGAAGGAGGAGAACTGCCAGTCCTATCAGTGCCCTGAGGCGGGGCACCCAAGTCCTGATTTCATCGTCAAGCCTTCCCCAAACCAAATATGGGAAACACGGCCAGGGAAGCAGAGCTGATGAAGAGGCAAGACAGAAGGATGGAGCCACCATGGCTGCCCTAGTAAGTAGGGAGAGAGGGCATGAAAAAGGAGTCAAGCTCTAGAAGACAAGCTGGCAACACAACCCCAGGGCTGCACAACCCGACTGACCTTTCAACCCAGCCTGAAGAAAATCAGGGCTACCCCTTAGTGACTGGTGACTCAGTGCCTCCAGGAAGGTGCAGAGGAGCACGGAGCTGGGATGGGGAGAGGGTGTCACCCCCTGAAGAGCTCCTTCCCAGTGCCCCGCCTGTGAGGATACGCAGTGGCCGCTGCACACCCTGCTCGGCTAATGCAATGGCGTGGGGCCACCAGGATGAGCCACCAGCCCAGGAAGGAATTCTGCAACTTAGACCAACCTTTCCTGTGCCAGGACTCTGAAAAACATCAAGTTGTGGGACTCTTTGGACCACTTTCCATCTGCTCTTTCCCACACTCACAGGGACCTCAGGCATCGCTGCCATGTTGCACAGTCATGAGACAACACCTGTCCAACTTGATTCTCACTGGACTAGCTATGGACAGGAGAGACCTTTCAGATCCTGGCCACCTGGGTGACCACAAAGGAGTGGCCTTGACTTCATCTGCTTCATCTACCAGGCCTGTCCTGACACTGGCTTCATACTCACTGAGGCCCCTCATGCGAGACACAAGGGGTCGGAGAGAACATCCTTTTGGGCAGCCAGGCCTGAAGGGGGCTTTGGAGGCCAAGGTCCTCCCAAACATAAGACCAGCCCAAGCGCTGATGCCAGATACCCCGGAGAGCTGTTAAGCCTCCAGCCGTGAAAGGACAGGTCCCCTGACCTAATGTGGCTCTGCGCACAGCCATGCCTTCAAGGAACAAGGGGACCCGTGGCTGGACCCTGGTTAACGTGGGGCTGATGATTCCATCTCCACTGTGTGTTCACTCATCTGTTCCTTCATTCATTCACTGAAGAGTAAGTGCTGTGTCCCCCTTATGAATAAGGGCCTGTGTGGGTGCTGGGGCAGTGCTGACATGGAGCCTGCGTTCTTCCAGCCGGACAGACACACCACACTTCTGATTATACTCTCTCAGCCCTGTGGCACATGGCGGAGATACACAGAGAACCATGGCCTAGTTGGAGGAGACGCCTCACAAAATTCTGGCTTACATCAATGTTACTTCAGGCTGTGAAGCTGTTGTAGAGTCAGAGCAGAATGTGAAGGTTAACAGTCGGCCGGGGGCAAAGGATCAAAGCCTGAAAACCGGTCTGAATGGAAGAATGGGACAGCATGGTGGGGACAGGGCAGCAGAGAGTAGTACCTGCCTGTCCAGGAGGAAGGATCTGGGGACAAGGCTACGCTCCAGCAAATAAAGCATCACTTTGGTTCCTCAGCCATGCTGAGCACTGTCTCCCGCTAACGGTGACGTGCAAACCCTTAAGGAAGGAGACAGAAAGAAAATGAAACAACCAGGGCAGGAAGGAAGATGCGGAGCAGGACAGGTTTCAGCATGAAGAGGTGGCAAATGCAGCTGAGAGGACGCTCCAGGCCACATGGAGCAGATGGGACACTGGCTAAGCACAGTGTTGGCCCAAAATTCCAAATGCTATCAAATGACAGAAAGCAGTTTAAAAAGGTCACATAACCATAAGCATGCTAGTGAACCAGACGTGTGCATGAGTCTTGGAAGCGGAAAGCAGCCAGATCTGTGACCAAGAAGCCAGAGCTGAGAGCCACCCTGCAGCTGGACTCCTTCCACCTCTCCATTCCCCGTGAGCACTGGGGGCCGAGGGCCATAGAAGGGTCACCCAAAATGCCGGACTTTCTTCCGTGTACCTTTTAAACAGAAGTGGCCCATGCCCTCCCCACACTGGAGGCAGCAGTACCTGCAGCTCAGGGCAGCGCTGTCCTGAGCATAAGCTGGGTGCATGCCTGGGGCAACAGACTTCCTTTCCCAAAAGTGAGAGGGCGGTTGTGGTGACGTGTGCACGCTGCTCCATGCAGCCCTCTAAGAAACCACACAA